GCAATTTACCTAAAACACTCGAGCCTTCAGTATTACCATGAATACCGATGTTATTAAATTCGACGTCAAGATATGTTAATGAATTATTTAATAACAAAGCTTGACATAAATGTTTTAATCCTTCATCACCTATGTTGTTACGTGGCATATAAAGATGAGTAAGAGTTTTATTGATTGTTAAGGCATCAGCCAATAATTTAGAACCACTTATGGCAATGTTATTAACGTCGAGGCTCAAACTAACAAGAGACTCGTTAACCCGAAGAGCTTCAGCAATTCCCTGAATTCCAGCAAATTGAAAATTATTACTTCCCAAATGAATATATTTGAGAGTACGATTTACTTTTAACATATCGGACACAAATAAACCACCCTGAGTATTTAATCTATTTGCCTCCAGAGAAAGTCTTTTTAAAGTGGTATTTATTTTGAGAGCTTTTGAAATACGCCGTGCACCATCAGAACCAATTTTATTAAAAGCTAAAGAAAGTTCTTTGATTGATTTATTCTTTTTTAGCAGTTTACCTAACCATTTAGACTCATTATCAGATATCATATTGAACGAGAGATCCAAGAAGGACACCGTAGTATTCTTTTGTAGCGCTTCGAGAATCACCTTTAACGAAGAACCCGACAATCTATTTCTTGATAAATTTAGGGTGTGTATGTTTGTAATAGCATTATATTTTAACAATTTTGCCAATAATTTGCATTCAGCCAACGTTAAACTCAAATGTTGATAATTCAGTGTTTCAAAAGCACGAGTTGTGACGCCATTATAAGAGTCTATTAATTCGTCAAGTTCCTTTTCAGTAATTTTGTGAAAAGTGCCTTTCTGTATATATTTTTGTGTTTGATTTAAACGAAAGTATGAGGCTACTAGTCGATGACCCTCGTTAGTCAAGTATCGATCCAAGGTATATGAAGCACCATAATTTTTAACTACCGTAGAAGACGCTTTTGGTTTTTTAGGAGAGGAAATAACTGAGTTGAGAGAACGAGTTCTCGGTAGGCCCAGAGAGGAGCCAAGAGATTCAGATACCCTCCTCAGCATGGTTTTTTTAGACATATTGCCAAAAAAAAAAAAAAAAAAAAAAAATGAATTTTTTTTTTGAGAGTTAAATAAACGGTTTTGAGTTAAAATTGTACGACAGGAGCAATAAATAAATAACCAATATGATTTACCAATTAAAAATAGAGCCCCGGGTACCTTTATTATAGGGATATTCATTATTCCCCACGTACGTACCAGTTACTTTTTTGTGAAAAGGATTATCTTCTTTCGGCATAGAATGTCTATTCTTATCTTTTCTGTATCTTAACGATCATGTATAAAATAGAAATTAACCAATAACGGAAGAACAGAAAATTCTTTAAATTAATTATTATACAAATATGCACCTATCGTTATCATTATTATTGACAGAATTGGCACAGACTGGTTAGTGGTCAATCTTAACCAAGCTGACCAGTTTTACCGGTTATGTCCAAGGATCAAATTGGCCAATTATATGTATATAGTCTTCGTAACAATTATTTTAATTACTGAATTAATAGATCAGTTTGACCAAGGGCTCGGTAAACTCTTCACCGATGAAGAGTTCTAGATTACGTGTCGATTCTTGCATTTGATTGGCTGTCATCCTCGTACCTTCGGCTACAAAAAAATGTGGCTGATGTATCGTTAAAATTATACGTACAAATCTAATTTTGATACGTAGATTTATTTTATTTCAAATTTGGATCCAATATGTTTATAACATGTGCGACAACACCAGGGTGAAGTCCATCCAGCATTATGCAAAAGTATGCATATATATAGATAACAAAAATAAAATTGAAAAATATAGAAAACGACAGTCTAAACCCATCTTGGTACACTAACAAAAAATATCGGGGACGCAATTTAACAGCTCTAACTTTAATCAAAACACCCTAATCCTAATGTTATTTAGATAAATGGCTCTGGCTTATATTCGGAAATTCTGGACTGCACCCTGCTGTTGTCGATGTTGTATTCTTGGCTTAGATACGCCTAAATTAGGGTTAGAATTAGGGTAAAAATATGGGTATAGTTTAGGCAAATCAGCTAATGCTGAGGCTCGAGGCAATATGCGTATCAGTCACACGTAGAGATGATGCCGTAACGTGCCGTAACTATACGTATTAAATAATTATAAAAGGTTACGGTAAACATGCCGTAACTTTTATAATTATTAAATATAGTTACGGCAAAGTTACGGCACGATTCGCCTGCACGCAGATCACAGGGGTAAATTTTTTACTATGGGCTCATTTTTCATAGTAAATTGCAACGGTAGGGCTCCGTTTCAGGGGTTTCTTAAACAAAACCACATTCACGAGACTTAAATACTATATGGGTCAGTACACAGCAAAACGAGGCTTAGAGACATTTTGTTCAAGG